AGATAGATAGATAGATAGATAGATAGATAGATAGATAGATAGATAGATAGATAGATAGATAGGTGATAGATAGACAGACAGAGGAATAACACCTGAGGTTGGCCTCTGACTTCTCCAGAAGATACGTGCGCACACACACATACACATACACACGCACATACGTATGCATATACACACACACCCAAGCCTGGGAAACATCAAAGACACTGGGTTTTGCACAAATCTCCCTCTAAAAACATCCTCTATGAAGGACGGCAGACTGAGCTGTGATCATCACTCTGAGAAAGGCAGACTCTGAGCCAGTGTGTGGATCTGCTGAGATGAGCCAGAGAAGCCTCTCTGGTTGACCTGTGGCCTCTGGGGAGCATTCACATCAAGCACTGTTTCACACCATCTGCTGGACAGATGCCGCTGGGAGATGGAAGCCAGCGGTGATCTCATGGACCGGACCGGACCCCCAAACCAGTGTCCTTTAAATGACCTTGATGTGACGACCAGGGCCGGCCTGTCCCAGCTAACCTTTCTCTCTTCGCTTTCAGCTTGGGGACCTGCTTCACAGGCTGCAGTTTGTCCTGGCCTACGTGGCCCCGTGGCAGATGGCCTGGGGTTCCTCCTTTCACGTGTTTGCGCAGCTCTTCGCCCTTCCTCATATCCTTTCTGCCTGCTCTCACCCGCCGAGCCGAGGTTTGCGTTTTTACAGGCCGGGGCTGTCCACTGACCAGGCAGTAACAGCACTGTAGAATCTGCCTGGTTACATTTTAACGGGGGTAGCGGGGGCACTCTGGGTCCCCTCCAGGCCACTTCTCCTTAAAAGACACTGGGTCATTCTAGACTCTGCCTGCTCCTCAATGTATGCTCAGCGGTCATTTTGGTTTTTTTTAACATTTTATTTCTTTATTTAGTGGGAGGCATGTGCCGTAGCACAAGTGTGAAGGTCAGAGAACAATCTGTAGAAATTGGTTCACCCCTTCTGACACGTGGGTCCCGGGAACAGAACTCCAGTCATCCAGCTGGAGACAAGTGTCTGTGCCCACCACGTCATTTTGTTAGCTGAACTCTTACTTTTTTCTGAGACTCCCATTTTCCGACTCCAGGTATGCGGTCAGAGAGTTGGCCTTTTATATGAAAATAACTGATTAAATAATTGGGTTGTCGTATGCAAACTCATACACATCTATTTACCCTTAAACGTTATAGATAAGGTTAATGAACTCAGTATTTTCTTTATTATATTGTGACATAATATAGTTATTGTATCTACTTCATCAATACTAAGAAATCTAGAATTAGATACAAGTAGAATTATCCCTAAGTGCTTTTAGAGACTACAAAATGAATCATGGTTTTATTTTGTGGTCGTTAGGCAGAACTGGTTTCTGTACATTTTTAATGTGTTTCCATAATGATAATTAGCTTTAAATCGATTTAATTCAGTCCAAAGCAAGTTGGAGATGCCATTTCTAATGATTGCATTGACACAAATAACTCAATTTTATGCCCAACATAGAGAGACGTGGAAGTTGATTTTTAAAAGTCATTCATGGTGACACACACCAGTAATCCTAGCATTCAGGAAGAAGTGGCAGGAGGATTGTCTACAAACTCCAGGTAGGTCAGATCTACATAGGTCCAGGCTGGTCAGGTTACATTGCCAGACTCTGTCAAAACTACAGCAAAACCAACAAAGAAAACACCAGAATACACTTGAAGAGAGAGGTTAATGGTGTTTCTTGTCAGCCTAATGGTGTTTCTGTCCCTCGAGTTTTCCTGTGCCACTGAGTCTAGTGATTTAGTAATTTTTGCACCCATGATTCTGGTCACAAGGCTCAGAGCCACTGCCGTCAGAACCCTGGAAGGAACCTGCAAGATGCATAGGTAGATCCCTGGGCTCTACACAACTTCAAGGTCAGATTCAGGGGCGGGTCCTGAGACAGTTGCCATGACAAACACTCTTACCAAAAGCAACTGAGGGAGGAAAGGGCTTAGTTGGCTTAGGTTCCGGGTCCTGGTGGAATTGTCACAGAGGGAAGTCAAGGTAGAACCTCAAGCAGCAGCAGCTAGTTCATTACACCCACAGCTAAGAGCAGTGAGAAACGAAAGCATTCTTGCCTGCTGGCTCTCATACGCCCGGCTTCCTTCACACCGTCCAGCCCATGACGTGGTGTCAGCCATATTTGGAGGAGGTCTTCCCACCTTAGTGAATGATCAAGACAGTCTTTCTCAGACATGCCCATGGGACAGCGTGATTCAAACAATTCCTCCACAGTCTCTCTCCCCAGGTGATGCTAGTGTGTGTCCATCTGACAGGAAAACCAACCAGTATAGGTGGAAACAGAAACCACAGTTGTGTTGACACCCTCAGGTGAAGGAACTAAGTTCCAGCAAAGCACTCTGGGTGTTGTTTGCTGTTGTGAATGAGGCTGGGAGCTTGGTTCCCATGAAACTTTTAGGAAGTTAATTGGGATTCCTCACAGGAAATTCCTTACTCAACCTGGGGACCAGGACAGAAACATACTTGTGATCATCACGAAGCAATAACATATTCTAGATTTTTAAATTTTTAGAAGTTCATTAAAATGTCTTTTAAATTAACTACTACCTCTGGCTCTTACAATCTTTCTGCCCCTTCTTCCACATGGATTCTGAGTCTTGAGGGGAGGGTGTAGCAAAGACTTCCCACTCAAGGCTGTGCTCTCCAAACTCTCTCTCTCTGCACATTGTCCAGTTGTGTGTCTGCCTGGCAACTGTCATCTGCTGCAAGGAGAAGCTTCCCTGATGGCGCTTGAGAGTCAGGCTGATGTATGGGTAGAGCAATACGTCACTAGGAGTAGGATAGAGAGCTGTACTCATTTAGCAGGATAATTCCAGTAGCATCTGTGACCTGTTTAGTACCGTGTTCTTGGCCACGGTAATAGTATGAGATATGAATTCAATCTCATGGAGTGAGCCTTAAATCCAATTTTTAAACGTTGTTGGCTAATCCCCTAGTACTTGTGCCCCTATTCTAACAATGGGGGCAGCCTGTAGAAAGGTCGCTATTGTAGCTGGCAGGGTTCATCCTGGGGGAGGGAAACGGATGATCACTTGTTCACAGCATGGTATATTCCTGTTCTTAGACCTACACTGATAGTTCCAAATCCTTTCAAGGTGATTTGGCAAAATAAGCGAAGAGGGGGAAAAAATGTTTGTGCTGCCTTTAGCTGCTAGCCACTTTGTTCCCCTAAACAGAATCCTTTAAACAAAGATAGGGGCACTTCTTATTTCTGATGTATTTCTGAGGTTTCTCACCTGGAATTTCAAGCATGTTTCTTGAATAAAAATTATCAATGAAATACAAGTGCATAGTTGAGGAACCACAGTGGCAGCTTAAAGTGGGACGCTCAGCTTCCCAGCCTTTCATGACTGGTAGAGCTTCCTGTTAATATCTGTACTCGATAGGTAAGCATGGGTTCCAGTGATTTCTTGTGGCTCCATGGCTTGGGTGCCTGTCTGTTGGGTTCATGCCAAATCCTGTGTTGATTACTCAGCCAATCCCCCAGAGAATCATATTAGCCAGCATGCCGCATGGCTTAAAGCCAAGTGCTTTCATTTGTAGATGCCTTCTCTTATGTCATGGAGACATGAGAGCTAAGAACTCATTCCGTAGAGTGTTCGCCTTGCAAACAGGAGGACCTGAGTTAGATTTCTAGCACTCATGGAAACCAAGACTGGATGTGTTGATGGGTGCTTAAAATCTCCATGACGGAGAGATCCCGGAGGCAGGAAGATTCCTGAAAATCACTAGTCAGTGGACTTAGCAGCCTCCTCGGTGAACTTCAGGTCAACGGGAGCCCCTGTCTCCAAAAATGTAGTGACTGTGTCAGGGGAAATCCAGTCAAGATTGAGCTCTGGCCTTTACATGAAAATGCATCCAAGCACACACACACACACGAAATGGAGATACTCAAGATGCATATTACATAGGATATTTGACAACTAGCTTTAGAATATCCCATTTATCTCTTCCCTAAAACTGGTTCTTTCATGACATCACTTACTCCCTTTTGCTAAGACGAGGCCTTCCAACCGCCCCTGCGCTGGCCACTGCCTCCAAAACTCCTTCTCCGCAGACCTCTTCCTCCTTGTTCAGTGATGAAGATCAGGACTCTTACCACCCAGCGTCCACATGAGATAACGGTCCAGAGAAAGGTGTCAGACCCCTAAATCTCAGCCTGGATTCCCAGTAATTGCTAAGCGTTAATTATCTCATCACCCTATTAAGAAATGTGGGCTCCATCCCACACCGATAACCCACTAATTTGCTCTATTTTGGGATTGAGTTAGCTTTCCAGCCAGCAGGGCACTGTGGATAAATTGCTTTTTCTCCAGTTCTAGCCCGTTTTCCCCCTTGCCACCTCCACTGGTTTCTGAGCTTCCAGCCTCCAGGGAGAAGAGCACACCCTTTGGACGTGTGTGGACACCGTGCCCCGCTATCGTCTCCCCGTAATTAGACAGCCTTCCCTAATTATCGCCACTAAACGCGCATTGTGAGGAGGGAAACTTCCTCTTGCCGTATCCCCTTAAGCCTCTAACGATTTTCATAGAGTGCTTAATTATTGGTGTTGAGGGTTCCATTTTAATACTTTCCACGGGTCATCTGCCTTGTAGGCTGACCTTTGGGCCCTTCCTTTTGGTAGGAACTGAAGGAGGCTTTGGCGGACCACTGCTCCTGGGCCTGTATTGGTGCTCCTAGTCACAGTTCAGCTGATTACACAATCACT